GCCTCCTAACTATAAGCTTGTATTTAGGTATCTTGGCTCCGGCTCCGGGAGCCAATATGTCAGCTTATGTCTGTTTAAAGGGAGTGAACGCCTCCTAACTATAAGCTTGTATTTAGGTATCTTGGCTCCGGCTTCGGGAGCCAATATGTCAGCTTATGTCTGTTTAAAAGGAGTGAACGCCTCCTAACTATAAGCTTGTATTTAGGTATCTTGGCTCCGGCTTCGGAAGCCAATATGTCAGCTTATGTCTGTTTAAAGGGAATGAACGCCTACAAACTATAAGCTTGTATTTAGGTATCTTGGCTCCGGCTCCGGGAGCCAATATGTCAGTTTATGTCTGTTTAAAGGGAATGAACGCCTCCTAACTATAAGCTTGTATTTAGGTATCTTGGCTCCGGCTTCGGGAGCCAATATGTCAGCTTATGTAAACTATAAGATTGTATTTAGGTATCTTGGCTCCGGCTCCGGGAGCCAATACCTCAACTGATGTCTCTGAACAACGTGACCAACACTCTCAATACCAGGTTCAAGGCTATCGTCTCTGATTGGAGGTAGGATATATTTAATAAATAATAATCGATTCATTGCACTGATCTTTAAACATTTAGCAAAGTAACAATTGCCGAATCCGGGTCCTGAATACATATTTTCACTAAAAATCGCAATGTTAAGTGAAAGTATAAAACAACCGTTTCTGGTTAGCCGGGTCCTGAATACATATTCATAGTACCATATGCTTTGCATTTAAAATTCAGTGATGGTGATGGACCAAACCTCTGTAGAGTAAAAAAGTAGATGTTAGTTCCACATTTATTGAAAATATTCAAAATAAAAATTTGGGCTGTCAAATGGACATAAGGGAAAAGAACTCAGATTATGAGATGGAAAAAAGATAATTTGCAAAAAATATTCACTTTCTAAAAAAAAATTTTAAGACAGTTATTATTCCTTGAGATTGTTTCTTCACAAAGATTAAAAACAAATTGTGTAATGCTTTGCAGTTGTTGATATCCGATAACCTATGGGCAAAACATGTCTTGTATATACTAAATCAGGCTTACATCAAATCCACAAATTTCAAAACGGTTTAGTTAAAAAAGAAAAAATTAAACCCTGCCACATTTTTATTGTCAAACGAAGGCGAATACATATTATCAATAAGTAAAAAAAAATTGAACACTTGCCTCAAACTCTAATATTCTAACCCTTCTATCTTTGGAACTAGTGATTATCAATCTTTGATATTTCAAAATAAATAAATGCTGCTAAAAAGTTAAAATTTGACATATCAAAGATTTAAAGTATACCATCAGATCGAACAGACCAAGAAGATCAAGCATTGATCTCCATATTACGCAGACCTACGCATAGATTTCATTCCTCTAGCTTTGATCTCCCGAGATGGTGGTGATCTTTATTTAAGTGATCAATCATTTATCCTCAATTTTAAAAGGCCCTAAATTGAATATATCGAGATCAAGCTTTCAAGGTTGACAATACTCCACATAAATATAAAAATAAAAATGATTTAGAAAATTAGAGTGTGAGGCAAGTAATCAGTTTAGTTTGTCACGTAAAAGTATCGAAATATTCCTAACTGGTAATAGCACTGAGCCTATCTAAGTTATAAATTAGGTTTATGGCAAACTATAAACCTCTAAACGGGGAACAATCAGAATTTAGTTGCATTAAAGGGACTGTAAGCGTAATTTAAAGTGGTCCTCCATGCAAAGATGACGATGCCTTTGCATCCTTAATCTAGCCAAAAAAAAATTCTGAGTTTCTTCATTGTTTCTTAAAAGCAAGAAATGTGCAAACCACTTTCGCAGAGAACCAGAGCTGAAAATAAATAGTTTAAAGGGTGCAATTTAAATTTCGCGAACATTCCCTTTAATAAAGGGGCTACTGTTGTAAAGATAAGGTTTTACATTGATTGTTAAATAATTCTATTAAATCAACAGTTCTGAAAAGTGTTATTATTTAGCAAAAACTCATGAATAAACTTTTTATTTGTGTCTAAAAATGAAGGGTGGGACAATTTGGCATTTTTTTGATCAAAATTGTTCATATCCTTTCAGCACGTGTCTTAAAAGATTCTATAATAAAAAAGCCAAAAAAAATGTAAACAAAAATTTTTCTTACTTTTACACGTTTGTGTAAATAATAAAACACTAATGCAAGCCAAATTTTTTTTTCAGAACATATGATACCAAAAAAACGTCTTCAAACACTGGTTTCAAAATTTTAAAATCGTAAAAATCTGTTGAAAAAACAGACAAAAAACGGAATTTTTAGAGGAAATTTGCCCGATTCATCCAAAAATAATAGTTTTTTTTGCCCTAGAGCAACTTTTTTTTAACAATTTCAATAAACCAACAACTGGGCAATATTCAGTCGTTAGAGGCGCAACATTGAAAACCAATATCGACATGTTTCGAAAAAATTGAAAAATCGACATTCCTAAATGATTTTTGATTTTTAAAAGTGATTGCGCCCATTTAAAAAAAATTCATAGTGTTCTTTTTGTAAATTTAATTGAACAATTTTTACTGCGTGTTGGTAATTTTTGAAAAAAAATCCATATTGTCCCATGGTTATTAAAATCGACCCATATTTAAAAAGCTTTTAGAAAAATGAAAAATATAAACAACAAGAGTCATGGATCGCCCTTGGCTTATTGTATATCTAAGAAAGATCTCCCCCCCCCCCCTACCTATATAATACAAAAATTGTCACACCAATTGGGACAATAGAGCGGCGGGGTATTGAATATGGGGTCTGATTTTATAGAGGTTTTATACTAGAGTTTATATTTTATTTTGATTAGATCCAATACAATCATTACCGCAGTTATTGGGATTTAAGTTATTTAAAGCAATACAGCTTTATTCTATATTTTGTGCATAACATGTGCTGGGTCCACTGGTACACTAGACCGGCTGGTGCTATAGTAAGTGCTTTCAACGACGGTTTGGTTCTTTGCCTGGTGTTTGAAGAGAATCTATGTTGTGAGAAATTGGTATTCTTCAGAATTATACACTTTGTACACTCCACAAACCCTTCAAGGGACTGTGAACGCAATTTCAAGTGGTCTGCCATCTTTAAAATGATTCAGATTCACAACGGTACCCTTAATATACGTCCTTGAAGATATGATAATGAGGAAGGCTTTTATGTTTTCCTCACTGAAAGTCATTGATTTTCAATTTTTCTCTAGAAATATTACAATAAAGGAGATCGCTAGATAGAGTATTAAGAAAGAACAGCGACGATATTTTTCAAATTGTGGCTCAGTTTATTGAGTAGTGTTTTGAATCGAACCTGCGGACAATGCCCGATTTACTACGGTACCCTTAAAACCTTTGTTGAGCATGAATATTAATTAGATATCGATGTTTTGATTCTTTGAGAAAATTATTTTCACTATCGGTCTCTCTGCGAAAGTGACTTGAGCATTTCTTGTTTCTATGAAGCAATGAAAAAATTAACAGAATTAAACATTTTTCAAGTCAGGAAAACGACAATATCTTCCTCATTTGTTATCAGATAAAGGTTTCAAGAGTATCGTTATAAATCGGTCATTGCCTTCTTTGCATGGAGAGGGTCCATTGAAATTACGCTTGCTGTCTCCGTAAATAATGATTGCTGAAACAAGTACTTATAGATTTTGAGTCCTCCCCTCCCCCCCCCCCCCCCCCCCCCCCCACGGACGGAAAGGGTTAATCTGTCCTTGCACTAACTTTCTTGAATTTAATGATAAATAAGTAGTAAACAATTTATTTATGAATTATTATTAACTTATTGTATGTCCCTAGGGAGTTTGTTTTAATGGTACGAAATACAGTTCCAGAAGATGAAGGAAGATATCAATGTCAGGTGGCATAGAGCATCATATATTTTTCATCCGACCCTCGTAGCGAACTGAGCAGGAATTCCATTTTATGATTGGCTACATTTCAATATTTCTAGTTGACGCATTGATCTTTACGCCCATCTTTTCTCTTCTTATTATTTCTCTCATCTTCAATCTATTGGTATTATATCTCTTCTTCTTATTTTTCTCATCTTATATCTCTTCTTATTATTTATCTCATCTAATATCTCTCATTCTAATTTTCTCGTCTTATATCTCTTTTTCTTTTCTTTTTATTAAACTTCATGTTTTTTTAATCTATTCTTATTATTCTTTCTTGTATCTTGATTTTTTGTTTTTACTTTTTAATTATGTTCGTTTCATTTTCTCTTCGGTTTTTGAGAATAACAAGATTATTTGTATTCAAATAAAAGTAGTTCCAATCATTTCACAATCATTTCTATACCCCCTTTAGTTTTTTTGCGACCGCTCCCTTACAACTCTTTTCTATGTTTTAAGCATCATTATTAATAACATTTCAAAAGGGTTAAAATAAATTTAAATGTTTAGGTTTCCGGCCCACAACATACTTCTCTATCAAAAGTGGTCACACTCACAGTTATAGGTAAGGAACAGCATGGGTTCCATTGTGCACTACTGGAGTACACGACCAATAAACAGGCGTCTGTATTCAGGGATATTTAAGGATCCTTTGGATACGAAATACGAAACCTTCAAAATATAGACTAAATTCACAATCAATAATAAATTCATGTATAGGGCAACAAAAAAGTATAAGTGAGTTAAAACCGAAGGCCAAATATGTGCTTAGTTAACCAAATAACAAATTCACAATTTGAGTCTAACGGTCGTCTTCGTATAAGTATAATGACGTCAAGTTTAAAAATGACCTCAAAAAAACGTGGAAGAGGAAGACGACATTTTAGCTGTTTTATTTGTATTTGATGATATAAAAGAAATAGGTTTGCTTGATATAAAATTGATCAAGTTATTCAAATTTTGAGTCTGACTGTCGTCTTCTTAATTCACAGAGTTGTGGGCCCGGCGGCCGCCCGTGCACTGCAGTAGCATTAAATATATTTATTGACATCAGATTTAAAAATGATATGAATTAATCAACAATACATGGGACCTATAAAAACGTGGAAAAGGAAAACGACTTTTAGGCCATGTTTTATTTGTATTTGATGATGCAGGGTTACCCGCAAAGGATGAGACTGTAAAGACGACACAAGACTCTAAAAGAGTGACGATTTTAAGCTTGATTTTTGTTCTGCATACAATTGAGTATTTTGATGGTTTACTAAATGATTAGCCAAAGAAATAAACCAGTTTTGGACGACAAGGAACCCTGAATGCAAGAAAAGGGACTAAATAAATTCCGTGAAGTCTCATCCTTTGTGAACAACCCTGTATAAAATAAATGCCCAGTAGGTTGAAAACCAACTTATTTAGTGTAATTAATCCTGTATATACACTGCAAAATTGCTTTGTTTAATGATTATTAAACTATTTTAAAATCATAATTTGAGCTTAAAAGCCGTCTTCTTAGTTTACAGTTTTATGGGCCCTAATGTAGAAGCATTAAATATATATGATATATAGCGTCAGATATGCAAATTTCTCTAAGAAATGAAAACGGGGAAAGAACAGAATAAATTGAATAAAGTTTGGAAACTAATTATCTAAATTGACATATCTAAATATTTATCTTGAAGAATTACCAGGGCTGTGTCCACAAATGTACAGCATGGTCTTAAGCTTTCAATAAAACATTTAGCAAAATTTTCATTGATTTTTCCATAAAAGCTTCCAATATTTAATCATATTTATTATGTTAATTTATAGAAGTTAAAAACATTACCTGTTCAATAAGAGAAGTTATCATTGTAAACTTAATGGATTTCAATCTTTGTCGCAATTTACTTTATTTAGGCGTGATATGATACAAATTTACTTTATAATAAGGCGTGATATGATACAAATTTACTTTATGATAAGGCGTAATATGATACAAATTTACTTTATTTAGGCGTGATATAATACAAATTTTAGGTTTACAATGTATTTGTTCACAATAAGCACAAAACATCAAACATTTCTATTCGAAAGTTATTTTTAGGACATTAAAGGAAAAAATAATACATATAATAAAATCTATTTAAATTTTTCAAAAGGGTCCAAAATAGGATCATACTTCAGAGTCGGAATTTAATAAATTTAAGCCGCGTCTAAAATACGCCTAAACCGGTTTGAATTTAGCGCAGGCTTAAATCTTGAAACATTGAATACAATTTTTAGTGGAACAAACCATATTTGAGCCGTGTCTTCAATTTAAGCCGTGGCTCAAATTCGGCCTCTGATCACCTTTCGTGGGGATTCACTAGGGTTAAATGTTAAAGATATCGCTGTGCCACCTTGAAAAGTGTTAATTCTAAAATAATTAATTTTCAAAGAGAACAGGATAGATAACTCATGTCAGCAGACAAGGGTTGAAGGGTGCTGGATAGATAACTCATGTCAGCAGACAAGGGTTGAAGGGTGCTGGATAGATAACTCATGTCAGCAGACAAGGGTTGAAGGGTGCTGGATAGATAACTCATGTCAGCAGACAAGGGTTGAAGGGTGCTGGGTCACTTGAAATTAATTCTATCAAAGTAATACTCTGACTATTTACTACAAGTAAAATTTGATCCCAGTGATAGAAATCTTTAACTTTTTCGATATTTCGAACTGAAAGATAGGATTTAATTTATCAGTGCACCGTCCGTACCACACTCCCTCTAAACCCTTCTACACTGATAAATGATAAAACTCCACCTCCTTCTCTCCCATGGTACATACTACAGGGTGTTTCAAAATACATGAGAATTCGATAACGTCTTTGTTATAAATTAGCATTGTAATACCTAATTTCAAAAGCCATAATATGATTATGTCTGCTAGAGTTTATTTTATGAAAAGGGTAAAAGAATTTAAAGATGTGTTAATAATGTCTCTGAAAGATGAAGAGTGTAGACGGACAAGTTTACTCTGTTTGTATACTGCAATTTTCTTGTTTTACTAAGTACAACCGTATGCAGTCAACACATAAATAAACAAAATGTGAACATAGCAGACGAAACTCTTACAGATTACAGCTTTCTCAGTAGGTATCACTATACTAAATCAAAGAATTATTTAAAAAGACGATATCGAATTCGTCACTGAATTCCCATGTTTATTGGGACACCCTGTACATAGTACAAATCATAATATAGCAAGATCTCAACTCCTTTGTTTTATGTTTGGTGTGCATTAAGCAATGACACAGAAAACGTCATCGATTTAGGGGGGGGGGGGAATAAAATAAAGGGTGAGGGGATTTTCTTTTAAATATTCCCCGGTCCTACACATAGAATAATCTCTCAAGTCTCAGCCTTATTCATATTCAAACCAAGTGTCACGGATGTTTGATTGTGAGATTTCAGATTTGAGAAACTCAAACATAGTTTTATTCAAAGATTCTCTTAAAGATAAAAAGTCTTTCAAAAATGTAAACAAATATTTTTGGATGGTGCGTTGCTTAGGACGAGACTTCAACGACGACTGCACGGAATTCTTTACGTCTTTTAAAAATTTTACGGTTTCCTGCAACTGTGAGCTTTTTCTTTCATTTCAAATCAAGGTTTACAAGTTTGGGACTTTTCCTAATTTTAACCTTTAGTTTGACAGGTCTAAAATGTTTGAGGTCGTCGGTAAAGAATCGCGCCTAGTGATTAAGTGTATGAAAATTTTAAAAATAGCTTTGTGATATCAATTTTTTTATTGTTAATCAAGGAGAATTCAAATTTTTATATTAAAGGTCTACAACACTAGATTGTAAAGATAATTATCAGAAAAATAAAGTTGTATGTAAGCGAGTAATTATTTTGCATTTCTAAACAACTTCTTTGTCGATCGTAGCTATTTTTAACACCGGGTGATATTACGAAAGATTCAGTGACGCAATTAATGTCTATTTTAAGAACCAATAGCGATTGTACGCACATATATTCACTATCTCACTATATATTTTTTATTTGAATTCAATCAGAGAAAAATGTGCATTTCAGCGGTAGACAGACAGAGTAAACTGTATCATCGGTAGTAGTGGAAGTACACTAAAAACTAAGCTAGTTGGGGTGGGGCACATAGGTTTATGATTGGCCGGGTACTGTAAAAATTCTGGATAGTGTTGGGCCGGTACTTGGTGCCCGACAGAAGGGGACGGGCCGGTTCGAATTCAAATTAAGAATATCTTACCATTAAATATTCGTCTACTTTATAACTCTCTTGTAAGGCCTCATATTGAATATGGAATTGTTACTTGGGGGGGGGGGGGGGGGGGGGGTATGGGTTAAAAACTCTAAACTGCAAAAAATTAGATCTTTGCAAAAAAAGGCAATCAGAGCGGTTAATAATAGTACTTTCAAGGCACATTCAAATCCATTATTTTACTGAAAGTTCTTAATCTTGATGATACATAAAAACTTTGTGTTCTGACATTTATGCATGGATACTTTAATGATAACCTTCCCTCTTCCTTCCAAAATATGTTTAAGTCTAACTGAACCAAATAGAACAAAATCATATAAATTAGAACGGGTTTTAAACAAAAAATTACAAAGCTTTCCGTCCGCAGTGTTTCCTAAATTTTGGAATGAAATTGAAATTGATCTTAAAGAAACTAAATCTGCAAAAATATTTAAACAAAGAGTAATCAATATTTATCTTGAGAATTATGAGATGTTTAAATGCGGAAAAACTAGCTGTATATCGTGTGAATAAATTTTATATAAAAAAACTAAAATAACTGAAACTTTATTTATGTTTCTGTAACTACCATCATTAACACCCTGTATTTTAAATTCATCTCTACATAAAAATCCCTCTGATCTCACCCTGCCACAGATCACCTGACAATCTCCTTCCTTCCAATCAACTCATTACCTATTCAAAAATATATCTTGATATGTGTAACCAACTATATTCAGTATCGTTAATTAACTTAGGGCCAACCACTCAAAACAACCAACCCTGGTTAGGCGGGTCCAAACTGCATAGTAAATTGTGATTGCTTTTTTTAATATCTTATGCTTTGTAGTTGAATAAATATATGAAATGAAATTAAATTGACTGTAGTCCACCGTAAGTATAGTTGTATCTTTAGAAATACTAAATCTTTTGTTTTATAAAGACTTGCATCTATGCATGCATTGCATTTACAGTAATATTTAGAACTACATATGCATTCTTATAAAAAATGCATTTTTGACCAGTTTTACTTGTTCTAATCAAAACAATTGTAAATACATTAATTGTTCTAGATTGAATCGATTAGATTTAATCTTAACAAAATCATTTTATTTAAAAGTTTTAAGCTTAATTATAATTTCATCTAAATATTGAGGTTTAGTTATGACCAAGATTATAATGCAAGGAAAGTTAATTGCAGTTGCGTATACTCTGCGTACATATTGAAACCAGTTCTCTCTGGACGGAATTCGTAAACAAGAACAGATGCATCAGTGTTCGTTTGGTATCCGAGGAGGTTAAAAGCATTAAATTTTGATAATTTTGACAATTCACATAATAGTTTTCTATGACCAAAATATTTCAATGATTTTTTATGTAAAAGATGGATCCTATGTAAGGCTGGTGCATCCGTCTTGTGTTTACATTACCGCCCAGAGACAGTACACTGCAGTACAAAGTTACAAGTTAGAAAAAAATATTACAAACTTTTGTGAAATCAACTAAAACTAAACATTGTTTTCTTTCATTGAAAGGGCGCCATAGTTTCAGTAGAATTAAATATTTCCATTCACTGATAGCGCAGGTTGAAGGATTTATATCTCGATTTGGATAATGAGATAGATAGAAAGATATATGTTACAGCCATACTATTTCTATTGGTTCAAAATAGACAACAAACACATGACTCATCCCTGATTTGATCAGGCGCTAATGGACCGGCATACAAGCATGGGGTGTAGAAATTATTTTAAGTAACCTTTTATTCATAGAGTGGCATGTCTAATTCATATCTCTACCCTTTAAATCTTTTTTTCTGTAAAATACAATGGAGTTCTCATTGGATTCTATCTTAAAATTGAATATTTTCGATTTATTCTCTGTAAAAGAGAAAAGAAAAGATAGAAAAATGAAGATGTCTTCTTTATTCTTGCTCAGATAACGGTTTCAAAGGTACAGCTGTCATGCCATTCAGATTCTTTTACTAAAGGGATACTTGAAATTTCGTCTACTGTCCCTTCAAGCGTATTGAAAGGATTGTGCACGTATTGATTTTTTAGTAATTTTGATCATCCATTATTGATTAGGAATAAGGATTCTAATAATACTAATTTACTCATATTCACCTGATTTTTTAGTTGTTCATGACTAATTTGAGAAAGCTGCATTATCCTCAACGAATCTATACATGGATATAGGTTCAACTAGATCTATTCATGTATCTTATATTCCTGGGTTCAGATCTATACCTGGCCAGGGTTCAGATCTATAACTGAATCAGGGTTCAAATCCATGCCTTGATTAGGGTTCATATCTATACTTGGATAAGAGTTAAGATCAATGCCCGGATCAGGGTTCAAATCTTTACCTTGATCAGGGTTCAGATCTATACCTTGATTAGGGTTCAGATCTATACCTTGATCAGGGTTCAGATCTATACCTGGAGAATGATTCAGATCTATACCTAGATCAAGGTTCAGATTTATACCTAGATCAAGGTTCAAATCTAAACCTAGATTCAAATTTATTTAAGATCAATGTTTATAATATTTATCTTTATTTAGATTCAATGGCTGAGATTCTGCAAGGGTCGGATCTATACCTGGATCAGGGTTCAGTTTTAGAACTAGTTTGCAGAGTAACATCGGGACAACTCACTCCAGCTTTTATACTCTGGAAGAAAGAAAACAAGGTTCGGAAACATTTTATTTCTCCAAATGCTGGGATTTTAAAAGCAAAGTCTGATTTTCCTTAAAGGGAGTGTTCGCGAAAAAAGAATTATAGGCTGATATCGAAATTAGGGTTACCATTCGCAAAACTTTTCCGCAATTTTTGAAAAAGAGAATAAAAATTTTTACTTTCGTTGCGATATATTTTTGCGCAGTTTCAGCAAAGAGTTAAACAACTCAAGGTTTATTTTAAAATTTACAAACAAACAAAATTATGAATTGGTTCCTTTTAGTCATAAAAACTTCAAATTGACGGACAAAAATTAATAAAAGCGAAATTAGAAATTAGAAATATGAAAATCGAAAAGCTTAGACTCTTTATTCAACCAGGACCGGCTCTAAACAGGGACACAAGCATCCAATAATATAGGGCTGACTCTCAGGCTCTATACTCCACCAGGACCGGCTCTAAACAGGGACACAAGCATCCAATAATATAGGACTCTAGCTCAGACTCTATATTGAACCAGGACCGGCTCTAAATGCCACACAGGGACACAAGCATACAATAATATAGGGCTGACTCTCAGGCTTGTACACAAGCCGTTTCTCAACTTGTATAAATCAACGAGGACTCAAGCTATCTTTCAAGCTAAATTTGATTCAATGCCAAATTGCACAATCTCATGAGCTATTGATGTCAATCAGACACTAGCTTGAATCAATGCTAAAACAAGTAGCAAGATCTACACTCGTTCTTTGCTGCAATCAAACCAGAGTCTCAATCAACTAACTTTATTCAATAGTTTAGGTTACAAGGTGAACAGGAATTGGCGTAATTCAATTCCTACGCTGTTATGGATATCACATCATTAAGACCATCATATTACGTATTTATCGCACAGTTAAAGTTTACGGTACGTGTTATAGATATAACGCAGTTAATCTATCTCAACCCATATCGTATAGCTTAATTTAAGTATGTCGCATGATTTGAGCTAATCATGTTAATCTCATTATGTCTAAGTTTAAAACATTTATTCATTTATGACGTACAATGTACTGCAAGTTTACAGAATATCATGTTTACACGCTTTTTGCTACATATATAGAATCTGCGGCCCTGAAACCTTTTTTAATGTAGGTAAACCCAATCAGATTGGTTCAATTCTTCTTAATCCGACTCTTCGGATTAGACCTTAACAGGGTCTAAATGGGCGTTAAAGCTGTTTTTACGTACTTTATAAAAAATTTCATGTTTTAATTGGTCTTTTTTAAAGAATTTTATTTGTTTAGATATTAAAATTTGACGGAGGGGAGACTAGCCAAGTAAGAGTACTGGAGAAGGATGAAAAAGGAAGACACTTTTCATCTCTTAACATTCAAAATATTTCACAGGTAACAAGGGTGGATTTAGAAAATAAATATGGGGTTTTAAAAATGACTACCCGCTGTATATATTTTTTTTGTATATTCCTATAATCTATGAGCATTGAATATGTCATCACTCTTTGTATATTTCTTATTCTATGAGTATCTCACTTCCCTCTGTATATTTCTATACTCTATGAGTAAATAGGTACCTTTGGTATATTTGTATACTCTATGAGTATGTCATTACTCTCTGTATATTTCTATTTTCTATGAATATATCATTACTCTCTGTATGTATCTATTCTCTATGAGTATATCCCTGAACTCTGTATATTTCTATTCTCTATGAGTATATCCCTAAACTCTGTATATTTCTATTCTCCATGAGTATATCCCTAAACTCTGTATATTTCTATACTCTATGAGTATATCCCTAAACTCTGTATATTTCTATTCTCTATGAGTATATCCTTAAACTCTGTAGTTACATAGTTTAGGGATATACTCATAGAGTATAGAAATATACAGAGTTTAGGGATATACTCATAGAGAATAGAAATATACAGAGTTTAGGGATATACTCATAGAGAAAAGAAATATACAGAGTTTAAGGATATACTCATAGAGTATAGAAATATACAGAGTTTAGGGATATACTCATAGAGAATAGAAATATACAGAGAGTAGTGTTGTACTTTGGATTGTTCTTGATAAGAGTGAACAGTCCCTTGAATACAACTGGATACCAGGGATCAGTACAACCCGAGCCGTAGCAGTAGACACAAGTCTCCTGCACACTACCGCTCTGGGTCCTGTGCTACATACAGCGAACAGATAGCATACAGAGGGAACCTAACTGGACGAGCTACTTAGAAGAAGACGAATCCAGCTTACACCAACGAAGCTGCTATAGATGAAGATATGGAGAAGGAGACTGATGTCCTGGTGCGAACCATGCAGGAGGTGATGGATAAGTTAGCAGAGTTGAACCAGGAGCTGGAGAGTATGGTGTCCTCTACTATGAAGGACACAAGCACCCAAGAGCCCCTTGTAGACCCCAACGTCAATGCATGGGATGCAAGGAAGGCCTGGGAGTTTAGACTTCATCCCGAAGCTAACAGGGATGAGGTATGCTCCAGGATTTATGTCCAGGTTGGGAAGCTGCTCCACAGATTACAGGAGCGGGCTGACCAGCATACCTGGAATACAGATGATAAATATATGATGGATGGATTAGCAAATATGATAGTTCTACACTTCAGATTGGATAAACTAACTGAGGGAGCTACTAAGGGACCTAAGTTGTAAAGGAACCATGGCTGATCATTAAACCATCTAGTTATCTCCATTTAATAGTATGTATGCATTTATGAATATGTAAATAAATGTATTAACATTGTAGAAAATAAGTTTATTACTTTGGGTGTTAATTATTGCACGAGAAAATAATTATATAAAGGTATACTCTGCATGATAGAGATAGCCCGAAGTATAATATTGCCAGGTTGCAAAGATAACAGCAACGCATGAGGGTTAGGTCCGAGTATTGGAAATAACCCGATCTGCAATGTTGTCAGGTTGCAAAGATAATAGATCTAATACAAGTAGAATAACTTGAAGTGTGATCTTATCAAAGTTTGCTAATTAAGTTTGCCAATTTATTACACATTTTTAGTAGTAAGAGAATACTACAGTAGGGATATACTCATAGAGATAGGATATCCCTAAACTCTGTTTATTTCTATTCTCTATGAGTATATCCCTAAACTCTGTATATTTCTATACTCTATGAGTTTATCACTAGACTCCGTATGCTTCTATAAATATATAATATTATTACAAAATAAGTTTTAAAACAGGAAAGCTATGTCAGATTTTAATAGTAATACGAAATATGTAAACGTTTTTTAACGTTTTTAACTTGCTTCTAGAGTTCTTAACTTCTTGAGCACAAAAATATTAATTTCAGCAAAAATAATTTTATTTAATTTTGAAAATCAATCCGCAAACACTAAGTTCTCACAAAATCTGTACAATTTACAATGTATTTATATAAAAATGCCATAAATGTAAAACAGTACACCCTAAACAAACGAGAGAGAGAAGCATTCGGTTTCTTTTATTTGAAATCAAACGTGTTTTCGTCTATAACTCATCAGTCTTTAGACTTACAAATTTGTTCATGTTATAATTTTTTCATTCAACAAAAAAATATTTTAGATAAAAGGCTATAAAATTATGTAAAAGGGGTCAAATTGTGATCGAAAGTCACAGACTCACAGTTTTCTAAAATATTGACAGAACCGTTGAATCCACGTGAGTATGTAATCAAATTGTCAACTTTATAAGAAACGGAAATATAAATATTAAGATTAAAAACAACATAAGTTCCACCAAATTATTTATATTTGATACTTTTGATATATTTTGTTATTTTAAGAGAAAATTCCAAATAAGCCAAACAACAGTTAATTACAATTTTGTCGTAATTAGATGCTTTCCTAATTGATAAGGAACTGAGTCTTTGCCACAAACATAAGTGTTCATATCCCTATATCCTTGGAACCTGATAATTTAGAAGTTTGATATTTCAAAATTTGAATATTTAATCTTACAGGGTTTATAGCTTGAAATATCATATTGTTTACGACATTGGGTTACAGAGATATAGGGTTTTAAAAATCAGAGTTTGTGACAAAGACTCTATTCCCTTGTCATTACGATTATTGTGTATCGTATCTCGTTTGTATAACACCTGTGCTGAGAACTCTTGTATTGTGGATATTGAGAATCATGCTTGACCTCGATCTTTTGCTAATCTGCAGATTAATCTAATCTTCATTCGATATCTCGCATTGTAATAGTACCCAGTCAGGGGTTAAAGTAAGCTTTAACCAGGAGAGTGATAACATATATAAAATGAAGATATGGAAAGGTATAGATTTAAGAAATCCTCATATTAAAAGTGCTCATAGTGGATTTCGAGATCAAACGATCGGGATTATGAGTATACCACACAATATTTCCTAACCTTGGCTTCTACAGTTTATCGTTTGTATAAAACATATTGCTTGTTTAACAATTTAATTTATATAACATTTCATTTGGATATAGTATTTCGTTTTCATATATTTCATTAGTATACAACATGTCACTTTTTGCTATAAACTCAACTCACCTTGTTTTCTTAACAGTTTTAGCTTTTAAATGATACTTCAATTCCAAAATATTTTTTCTTTGAAGTTTTTAAGAAAATATGAATGTAAGATTTCGCGCATTTTTCTGTTTTCACTTGGTGGGTTTTCACAAACTTTTAGCCTCGAAATATTCTAAAAGAAAAAGGAAATGAGTTTTTGCCACAAACTAAAATTTTCTAATCCCTATATCTCTGCGATCGGAAGGTGTAACCCTTTGATATTTCAAACTTGGATTATAACATAATTCATAGTTAAAATATCTAAGATATACGACATTGGATTAAAAACATAAAGGGATTAGAAAATCAAAGTTTGTGGCAAAGACTTAAATCCTTTGTAATGTGTGCTCTATCGGTTCCATCCATTTTTGTTACATGCAATCCATAATACAATCCATTCTTGTAAAAAGCTGTTATTAAATATCACTTTAAAAACAAATAATTAAATAAAACGTTCCCAATATATAGGAAGACAGTGGCTCCTATGTCTGCCAACCTGCAGTTGGCGTACAAGCACAGATTACGGTACATGTACTAGATAGGAAACCAGAATTAGTACAAGCTGTACTAGGAGAAGGTAATTATAATTATGTACAGTACATGTACTAGATAGGAAACCAGAATTAGTACAAGCTGTACAAGGAGAAGTTTACTATAATTATGTACATTGTACAATATATAACAGTACATGCACTAGATAGGAAACCAGAATTAGTACAAGCTGTACTAGGAGAAGGTAACTATGATTATGTACCAATTGTAATATTAAACGCTTAAAATTAAAAATCTAGTTAAGGTTTCCAAAAAGATGCATATTGCAATTTTGTAAACGTATAAATAGAAAATCTAAATTTACCATGAGAGAATCCTTTTCTTCATGAATATTTGATATAAACCTCATCCTCTTATTCTAAACTATGGCGTTTTCAAATTAGAAGGAGTGGGAAACTTTTTTTTCATCGTACTTCACAGAAAGGTCTCTAGCTCAACTCTTTTTACCCTTTACAGAAAGGTCAATCAACTCTTTGTACTCTCTATAATTTGGGTTTACACTATGGTTTACAGAAAGGTCGATGAACTCTGTGTACTCTTGACTTGGGTTTACAGAAATGTCAATTAACTCTTCAAGCTCTTTACTAGGGGTTAACAGATAGGCCAATTAACTCTTTCTCTTTACCTGGGTTTACAAAAAGGTCAATGAACTCTGTGTACTTTTACTAGGTTTACAGAAAGGCCAATTAACTCTTTCTTTTTACTTGGGTTTATAGAAAGGTCAATTAACTCTGTGTTCTCTTTACTTGGCTTTTACAGAAAGATCAATGAACTCTGTGTTCTCTTTACTAGGGTTTACAGAAAGGCCAATCAACTCTTTGAACTCTTTACTAGGGTTTACAGGAAGGCCACTTAACTCTTTGTACTCTTTACTTGGGTTTACAGAAAGGTCAATGAACTCTGCGTAATCTTTACTTTGGTGTACAGAAAGGTCAATGAACTCTGTGTACTCTTTACTAGGGTTTACAGAAAGGTCAATGAACTCTGTGTAATCTTTACTAGGGTTTACAGAAAGGTCAATGAACTCTGTGTACTCTATACTAGGGTGTATAGAAAGGTGTACGACCCCTGAAAGTGTTGCCATTTAATGCAATTGTTCAGTTTTTAAAAGATTCGGAAAGATTTAGTTGCATTTATGCAACACTTCCAGGTTGACCCAGTCTTTGATTGCAAATTTTTATATAAGTCTGGATCAAATGTAAGTGGTATACCTCATTCCCAGTAGTACTCTGACAACCTTTATCTGATTATCAATGTGGAAGATATCATCATTTTCCGATTGTTTAATTTGGACCTCTTATTAGCAGTCTCTTTAACAGAAAAACCACAATTAAATATAATAAATGTTTACAGAAATAAATCATGAATATCTCATTCATTCCTTTTAACATCGCTCTGCCATTATTTTAGAAATATTCTCTTTTGCTCTCTCAAAATAACCACTATCACTTGATTAAATACCGTGGTGTATAAAAAGTTATCAAATTGAATTAACTTAAAACTTTTTGATTTTGATCTGCTCTGACATATATCAGATGATTCGGATTAGACAATATAGTTTTCTAAAGGTTTTGATATAGACTCAAATTTTATACAAAAAAATAATTTTGAATAGGAAATAAGAAAGTTAATAGAAGAAATATGGATTAATCATTAAAGGGACTGTACGCGTAATGTCAAGTGACCATTCATTCAAAAAATCGCATGCCCGATTAACCGTGGTACCTATTAAATCTTAAACCTTTTTCTGAAAAACAATTAGGAAAATTTTGTCGTTTTTTCATGGTTCTTTAAAATTGATTGAAAAAGATTTAAAGGATACCTAATTTTGACTTGGGTATGCTCCTCCATATGAATGGTAAGTTACCTGAAACTACGTGTAAAGTCCTATTTCGGGATAACATTTGACTGTAGTGCATGACAGCCAATATACTGGTTTTCTTTTTTTCATGAATTAAAGCAAAAAAGTTTATTTTATTAAGACGATGATAACTTGCTTTAAACTCTGATTTTATCATTTCTAAATCTATGCAACCTTCTGTTAAAGACCTTTGATATTTCAAACTATAAAGTTTATCCAATAGTCAAGGTCTGTAAATTTTTTGTATGTTTCATTTTATATCTGTTTTATTTTAGGAGGCTTGGATGAGGTTCCTGCTTTAACTGTTTCATCCAAAAGTTCTGAAGTCGTCTACACTTCATTTCTACTTCTAGTTTATCCTTTACTTCTAGTTTATCCTTCTCTTTACTTCTAGTTTATCCTTCTCTTTACTTCTAGTTTATCCTTTACTTCTAGTCTATCCTTCTCTTTACTTCTAGTTTATCCTTTACTTCTAGTCTATCCTTCTCTTTACTTTTAGTTTATCCTTTACTTCTAGTTTATCCTTTACTTCTAGTTTATTCTTTACATTACTTCTAGTTTATTCTTTACATTACTTCTTCACCCCCCCCCTACTTCAATTTAGTTCTAGATTATTTAGGATGTTTATTCTTGTATTTTTCAAGATTTGTTGTATTTATAATTCATGGAGAAAATAAAAAATGAATTTTTATTTTCATATTTTCATATTTTTATCCCAGAAATTTCTAAATATAAAGTACTTTTAGTTCCTCCTGCGCATGGGAGACATAAAGAAAAAAACATTACCCCAAAAAGGTTGGTGACCGATGGCAGGGGGGAGTGGGGTTTGCAAAAAAAAAGCTATTCAAAGGGACTGTAAGTTATTTTTAAGTACCCTTTATGAAATATAGTTTGAAATATTTGATTTTCGAAAAAATAATGTTTTCGACTACTGTTTAAAAAAAATAATGGATTTGATTTCTTTTTCGTTTTAGAAGCTCTACTGTTGATTGTTTGTAATTTTTTTTTAAAAACCTGTTTTACGTAAGTAATGAATAAAAAACGAATGAAAAGAATATTAAAACTTTTATTTTATCATCCTGTAAAAAGTTTTCAGTCCAAGTTAATTGTATACTCAGACGTGCAGTAAAAAGTATGAGACAACCTTTTAATCCTAAAAGTTAACCTCTGGCATTTTGCTATTAAATGTGAGGCACAGGTCAAGGTTTTAATGCAAGGAAAGTTATTTCAGAGGTGTACGCATTAGGGTACAGTGAAATTAAATAAATCTTTATTTCATTTCCTATCATCATTTTTTTTTCGTAAAATTCAATTTTAAGAACAATTTAGAAAAGGCGTTTTTTGATTGGAAGACATCTTGATTCCCAAATTTGGGCTTCTATGTACCGCATTTTTCATGAAATTTTACGAAAATCCAGAAACTGTAAATTTGTCAATTTTCTAACTACAGAAATTTAATTTACCAAAAAATAACCACAAATACCACTTTAGTGGGGACGGAAGCCATAAAAATGTAGTTTGTTCAGAAACGAATGAATTATGAACACAGTTTTGTTCTATATTTTTATCAAATTTTCGAATATCTTGGTCTTTACAATAGTGTGAAATAAAATCCGCCCTAGACTTATGAATGTTTTAAACTTGGGCATTATCTCTCTATGTTGGAGCCTAGATGTAATGAACCCATTCCTGAGCCCGCAATTAAAAAAAATTCGGGAAAATACAGTTCAAGTGTAAGCTGTCGTTGGGCCTTATTTACGACTTGACTTTCGGATTCAAGCAGCATCTTATTTTCGAAAGAGCTGAGTTCAAAAAACCGGTTACATATTCTCAAGGCCACAACCTTATACGATCTTGTTTCATTGACCAGTGGAGGCATCCATGAACCAGTATTTACATGTAGTCTCTCCAATGAAGAACTCACAAACATTCTTTAAAGCCATATGTAGGTCCAGATTATAAAATTCATTTACAGAGTACTATATTTTTAGTTCAACAAGTGACTGATGCAGCTTAGGCTGTTGTTGGACAAGAGGCCTGAGCTCGCGGTTTAAAAACTTTGGCTCGAGCCATAATTCCTTAAACCTAACTTTAAGACCCAATTCTGAAGACAGCTTGTATAACATGGGTGACAGCTGCAAGATCTTTGGCTTGATTTAAGGAGTTAGGCCCAATATACAATAAAACCGACCTTGGTTGGTTTTAGTTGAGAATGCGCCAATTCCTGCCATGAAAATCAACCAAAAAGAATATGAAACAGGTTTTTTGAACTAAGCTCTTTGGAAAATAAGATGCTGCTTGAATCCAAAAGCCAAGCCGTAAATAAGGCCCAACGACAGCTTAGAGTTGAACTGTATTTTCCCGAATTTTTTTAATTGCGGCTCAGGAAGGGGTTCATCACATCTAGGCTCCAACATAGAGAGATAATGCCCAAGTTTAAAACATTCATAAGTCTAGGGCGGATTTTATTTCACACTATTGTAAAGACCAAGATATTCGAAAATTCGATAAAAATATAGAACAAAACTGTGTTCATAATTCATTTGTTTCTGAACAAACTACATTTTTATGGCTTCCGTCCCCACTAAAGTGATATTTGTGGTTATTTTTTGGTAAAAAAAATTGTGTAGCTAGAAAACTGACAAAGTTACAGTTTCTGGATTTTCGTAAATTTAATGAAAAATGCGGTACATAAAAGCCCAAATTTGGGAATCAAGATGTCTTCCAATCAAAAAACACCTTTTCTAAATTGTTCTTAGAATTAAATTTTACATAAGAAAAAAGATGATAGGAAGCGTTTTTATGATATTTATATGTTTCATACCATTTTCACTGTACCCTAGTACGCATCTTTTGTACTGCAGTGTACTGTCTCTGAGCGGTAATGTAAATATAAGACAGACGTCGAAGCCTGACTTGGGATCCATCTTTCACATAAAATATCAATGAAATATTCTAGTCATAGGAATGTATTATGTGAATTATCAAAATTAAATGCTTTTAACCTCCTGACACTAGACGAACACTGATGCATCTATTCTTGTTTACAAATTTCTCTCAATATGTACGCAGAGTATACACAACCGCAATTAACTTTCCTTGCATTATAACCTTGGCACAGAAGAGGGGAATGGGACATAAATTTGGTGTACTGTCCTGCAGTTTTGACGTGTAAAGTCGGCATATGTGTACTGTACAGCTTGCAGATTGAAAGTCGGCGGCCAGGCAATAATTAAAGTATAACACAACAAGTTAACATCTGGTATTTTGCCATGGCAATAATTAAAGTATAACACAACAAGTTAACATCTGGTATTTTACCATGGCAATACAAGTTAACATCTGGTATTTTGTCATGGCAATAATTAAAGTAAAAAACAACAAGTTAACATCTGGTATTTTGCCATGGCAATAATTAAAGTAAAAAACAACAAGTTAACATCTGGTATTTTGCCATGGTAATAATTAAAGTAAAACACAACAAGTTAACATCTGGTATTTTGCCATGGCAATAATTAAAGATAACACAACAAGTTAACATCTGATATTTTGTCATGGCAATAATTAATGTTTAAAACAACAAGTTAACATCTGGTGTTTTGCCATGGCAATAATTAAAGTAAAACACAAGTTAACATCTGGTATTTTGCCATGGCAATAATTAAAGTAAAACACAACAAGTTAACATTTGGTATTTTGTCATGGCAATAATTAATGTTTAAAACAACAAGTTAACATCTGGTATTTTGCCATGGCAATAATTAAAGTAAAAAACAACAAGTTAACATCTATTTTGCCATGTGAGTATAATAAAGATGAGAGGGATGTGACATATGCACACATTTTATTGTTTAATTCGAGTTACAGTTTTAAGGCCGCTATAAACCAGTTTTATCAAAATAATAACAAAGATTATAAACAATTCAAATGCTTGAATTTCTAAAATCAATTTGTATCACCAACTATTTTTTTATTTAGCTGAAACCAGTTCCTGATTGGTCTCAAAGCATCCCAGTATAATACACGCAAACTCACCCTTACCTTACATTTAATCACTATGGCAGGAATGGTAGGAAAGGCAATCCACACATTGAACTTAATTATGCGATTATGAAAATCAAACACAGCTGAGTTTGCTGAACATTTGGCTAAAATGACACTCGCAAAAATATCGTAGCGCCAATACATACAAAGAGATTAATTTTCTTTAATTAAGCTATAAATATAGGTTTTCTAAAAGTTTTGCTAGGCACTCTACCTTATTTTTTGGTCAAATTTGTTCTAATAAATTTGTCCAAAAAAATCAAGTTTGAGTCAATTTATTTATTTTTCATCGAGAAAAGCAATTGTGGAAAGGTGGATCCGGTATAATTACCAAATAAAGGAATTAAATCTAATTTTCTTATCTGTCTATATTGGGTGTCCCCTATCAAATCGGACTAATTAACGGTTTCTTAGAAAATTTAATTTAATTTAATTCTTGGAAAACTTTGAGCTTTTTACAGATACAACTTTGAAACCCTGAACCTTGTATGTATATCTATAAGCAGACAACGAAAAAAAATCGAAAAACATGGGAACCCAAAAAGGGAGTGTTCACGAAAAATGAAACAATATACGAATGCGTCAAAAAATAATCGATGACTTTAGATTGTGATATCTGAATGATTGGTTCGAAATTAAATTGATTATTTTACAATACTAGTCGTATATTGCAACTTAATGAACTTGTATGGACACTACGTTCTTCAGTTTAAAGTCATTTTTTACAATTTTTTCCTTATAGACGCAACAGATAGAAGTAAGATTAGTAGCGATCAAAAGCGCTTATTTTTCGCACTCCCTTTAAGCAGGACCTTATAGTTAGATATATTAAGCTATGAACTATGTTAGATCAAATAATCTAAGTTTTAAATATCAAAAGTGAACACCATCAGGTTACAAAGATGTACATATATTTATAAATATATATATATGGGATTAGAAAACTTGAGTTTGTGACTAAATTCCATCGAACAAACAACTTATTGGAAATCAACTTAACCATTAAACTTCTAAACGTTTAAGAATTTAAAATATAAATTATTTTGACATATTGTCCCAAAACATGCATATTGACAAGCCAAGCACCCTCCCTGTCCCAAAACATGCATATTGACAAGCTAAGCACCCTCCCCTTTGTATCCCCCTTGCCCAGTCTGTTTGGGTCAAATTTGACGAAAAAAAATTTCAAAATGTGATGTCCAAAACTTTGATGAAAACTTATTTTGAGATTTAACTTTCCTTCTCTCTCCTTTCACAAACTAATTATAAAGCTTCAAAATATATTTCTGAGTTATATTTTACATATAAATTCAATTTCCATTTTTTCCGATGAAATAAACATATTATTATTCATTTTCATATTTTATTTCGGAAAGTTATGCTGGCAGATTTTGCCATAAATATTAATTTTGATATCTAAATAAAATAGAAAATGAATTCTGAAATATAATATTTAACATTTTCTGTTCACGCCTGCACTGCTCTGCTTTTATCAACTTTTTGTACGAAAACGTTCTTTTTAAGTTTTAAACAATAACATA